AAATTTGGAGACGCAAGGTCTGAAGTCAAGGAGTGAGCAGAGCTCCCCTGAGACTGGGCAGAGTCCTTCCCAGCCCTGCCTGGCTGTGGTGGTGGCTGGCAGTCCTGGGCGTTCCAATCTCTGCCTCTCGTCACACAGTGCTCTCTTTGTGTCTCTGTCTTCCATGCCGTTTCTCTTCTTGTAAGGACACCGGTCATATTAGATTAGAGCCATCCATGACTTCATCTTCACTAATAACATCTGCAAAGACCCTCTTTTAAATAAGGTCACATTCACAGGAACGAGGGGTTGGGACTGCAACCCGTCTTTTCTGGGAGACACAATTCAACCCATCACGGCAGGTTCAGCTGAGTCATGATCCAAGCAGCCTGGGAATGGGCCACCCCTGGGAGGGAGGTCTTTGCATTTCATAAGTCAAATCAAATGCTAATAGGAGTCAGGGCCCCGTGGAGAGCATGTGGGAAGAGGGACAAGACTCCTGGGCGGTTACAGACTCAGCGGAACAGAAGGCTTCTAGAAGGACATGTCCTGGCTTTATCTGTCTGAACAGGGTAGCAGGGTGCACCAGGGGCTGAGGCGTCCCTAAGGCTCTTACTCAGAAACATAATTCAATTCTTTCCAACCGACTCCGGCCAAATTGATGCCCCCCGAAGTGACAGCACTGCCTGACTCAATGGGGCAGGAAGGGGGAGGAGAGGCAAAGATCTGCCCGGCTCAGGCAGCTTTGTCCAAATCTTGCCTCTGGAACAGGCAGCTTGCAGCGAACATCAGTGCGCCCGAGAAGGAGAGAGGTGCACAGGAGGGGGCGAGCAATCTCTAGGGAGGATTAGTGGAAGCATGAGCGGGATCAGAGAGAACCGCCAGTCAGCAGGCAGCACGGAATTCAGATTAGTGCGGCGAAACTGAGCGAGGGTAATAAAACCAGCAGCGGGAATGGCATCGATTGTTGAGATTCCAGCCAAATCCACCACGAACATGTTTTCTTTCTTCCAGACTCTGCCCCTCGGTTTTGAAAGCAGCAACACTGAATCTCTGTTCTGTACTGAAAGCTGATCTGTGCCCCTCCCCAAAGGATGGGAAAGCAGCTCTTCTGTAAGCAAGAGAGGACAGAAGCAGAAGCCAAGATCGAGTGTGCAGTGCCTGTTACTGCTCACTCAGAGGCCTGGGGAGGTCTCCCCTGTGATGCCCAGGCTCCCTCCCCCAGCCCGACTTCCCCTGGGCCAGCACCAGCAGATCTGGGGGAGCCCCATTCAAAAGCTCCGAAAAGTCAGTCTCTAGGAAGCTTGGCGGGGGGAATGGGATAGAGGGAACTGGCCGTTTACTGAGCCTCAATTCTGTGCACATTCACTTCTGTTCAGCAGCTGGGCACAGAGACAGTCAAGACCTTTGAACCTCTAGCTCTGCACTGTCCACAACGCCACCCGTGGTTTCTGAGCACGTGACCTGTGGCTGGTGTGACTGTGGAACCACATATTAAAGTTGATTTCATGTCAACGAATTTAAATTTAAAGACGGAAGCCGTGTACAGTATGCTTGATTGTAAACACAGGGTTGACCTTTTTTAGGGTTACATTTTACTTTAACTGTTTAAAATGTAGCATCTGAACTGAGAAGTGCTCCATGTGTAAAATGCACACCAGATTTCAAAGACTTGGTGCAAAGAAAGAATGTAAAATATCTTTCATTTGCAATTTGAAAATATTGATTACATGTTAAAATGATGATTTTTGTATACACTGGGTTCAATGAACTGTGTTTAAATTAATTTCACCTGTTAGTTTTCTAATGTGACTTAAAAAACTTAAAATTATGTAACAGCTGAAATGCTATTTTTACTTAACAGTGCAATTCTCAGGGTTTGCAACAGGGGGCGCTTTTGCCCCTCCAGGAACATTTGGAACGTCAGGAGATCTATTTGGTTGTGACAACTCAGAGATAAAGTGCTACTGGAATCAAATGGATAGGGGCCAGGGAAGTTCCTAAACGTCCTACAATGTCCAGGACAGCACCTGCGCCCCCCCCCCAAAGAATTATCTGCCCCCAGATGTCCCTTGGGCCAAGATTGAGAAGCCCTGTCTTAGAGCACGGGGTCCTTGAAGGAAAGGCTAGCAGGTCAGAGTGACCTGAAGAGCTAGTTGGAGTCAACTGAGCAAAGAAGTGAAAGCTGCTCTCACACTTAGCTCTCAGGATCAACCAGGGCTATGGGTTATTATCCCCACTTCTCCAGAGGGAGGGGGAAGCCTGGAGAAGAGAAGTAACCTGCCCAGGATCACCAGGCAGGGAGTGGCAGAGCTCGGAGCTGAACTCAGTCTCAACTCCCTCTGAATGCCACCTGTTCCTCCTGGTTCTCGCGCCAGTGACGGTGTTTACCGTCCTCTACCGCCATCACTCAGACCCGGGCGGTCATCATTTACATCAGCCATTCCTGCTCGCAGGGGACGAGCGTGCACAAAACACACTTGAAAGGGACCGCCAGCTCAGAGAGAAACGCTTGCCGGCACCTCACCCATCAAACACGGCTAGGAAGGCAGGGAATAAATGGAACCCAGGGAAGTAAACCTGTCAGAGGGGGCCATTCCAACGCCTCGGGAGGCGAGAAGAGGAACAAATGTGCCCGATGTGGGACTGGCTCAGTTGAAAGGAGGCATTATCAGGTTGCTCGACGTGAACAAAGCCCAGGAAACAATGACCCGCACAACGGAGTGGCTCACACACCCTGAGACGCATGGCTTCTCCACAAGGTGGTGTGAGCACAAGGGTGAGTCACTTTCCTCTCACGGTCACGTGTGTCCACCTGCAACTGCAACCCCTCCTGGGATGAGGGGGGCGCTGGAGGGCTGTGGCAGCGTGGGCAGGGGGGTTGGCACTTGGTGCAGGGCTGCTCTGCGCTGCTCCTGAATAGAGCCCTCCCGAGGGTCCCCAGATGTAATCGTTCTTCCTTCCCTCGACTATTTGAGAGTAAGCTGGTGAGTCCCTAATGTAGCCTTTAATACGACTCTAGAGCAAGTGTGACAATTAGAGGTGCAGGTGAGACAAGGTCATGCAACTCGCTGAAGGTAATATAACTAGGGTGTGGCTAAGATGCCATTCCTGGGCAGTCGGTAGTGACACATTGGTCTATGGGGGTCAAGAGCAGGGACAACCTGGCTGTGGTGACTACTGTTGGGACGTTGCCCAGATCTCCGGTGCTTGAGCTGGTGCAGCTCATTCCCAGCGGCTGTGCTGGCTGCTAACAGCCCACAGATACCCCTTTCCCTCCAGAAGTGCCATCAGACCAATGCTGTCACCTCCCCAGGAAATATGCACTCCCATGGCAGCCCCACACCCAGTGGCTGACTGACAGATACCTGTCCCCTTGTCTCAGGGTAGAAGCAACTCTGTGATACAACCCACACTCCAGAGCCCCTGTGGGCTCAGCTGATGCGGCTCCACATCCTCCCCCAGCTTCTTCCCCTGCCCCATCCTGACTCCCTCACCTTCTTCTGAGGATGCTCCTCAATGAATAATCTGCACAAGAACCCCCATCTCAGCCTCTGTGTCTAGGGAACCCCACCTTAGATACTCACTAAGAGCAATGTCTCTTAGTCTGGGAAGTGGGTGGACAGCACTGGACTTTGAAGGTACAGGGATGGCTGGACCCTCGTCATCCCTGCCTCCTGCACCCCCTTTCCCACCATGATAAATGGACCAGCTAGGGACTAGGAGAGAAGAGCCATTGTCTGAGCAACAACTTTGAGAGGCAACAGTCAAATATTTGAAGTCTCTAAGAAATGTCCCACTGACCAGAAAGGGCCCCTGCAGTTGAGGTTCTAGGTCAGCAGAGTCTCTTTTGTCTCAAGGACGATGCTGGGCATCAGCCTCTGACACTCGGGCTTTGCAATCCCAACCTTGAAGAGTGGCAGGTGTTTATGTGAAATGAGCTCAGATTATGTGTTCAAGGGAAGGGGCTGGTGGTTCCTTCCAACAGCTACCTACTCCCACCCCACTGGTTTTCACACCCATTATCTTGCTTTCTCACAGAACACAACTCCAGAAGACCCTGCAAGTGCAGAGAATGTAAGCAAATGGTAAGAGACAGGTATTGCTATTCCTGCTTATAGATAAGATCAGTGGGGATTGTCACATTTAAAAGGCTTGTCCAGGGCCTGGCCAGCATGGCTTAGTGATTGAGCATCGACCTATGAACCAAGAGGTCACAGTTCGATTCCTGGTCAGGGCACATGCCCTGGTTGCGGGCTCAATGCACAGTGGGTAGGGGTGGAGGCGGGTGAGCTAGGAGGCAGCCAGTGAATGATTCTGTCTCATTGTTGCTGTTTCTAGCTCTCTCTTCCTCTCTCTTCCTATCCAAAATTAATAAAAATATATTAAAAATATTTTAAAAATAAAATAAAGGGCTTGTCTGAGACAAATGGTAGACCTGGGACCAAAGCCAGAGCTACTAATTTCCTAAGCACAGACATACTAGGCCACTTTCCTAGCCTCAGACCACTGCGTAGTTGTGACTTGCCTGGGAAGCACTCCTTTAGTTCCTGGTGTGTTTGCTTGTTTGTTTTGAACACCACACACCTCTCCTTTGCAGCACCACCCAAGGTTGGAGTCCTACCCTTATTTGTGTAGTTTTTTTTTACTCTAATGGCTCTTTCCCCTCCCAGAAAGGCACAGGAACATGTCTTCTTTTGCTCATCATTGTATACATTGGTGCCTAGAACAGTACCCGGCACATAGTAGGTACTTTGTAAGTGTTAGTAGGATGGATGGATGGATGGAGGGATAGATCAGTAGTGGCCCAGACGCTGTCCTGGGAGATACCCACGGCGCCTCTGGGATTAGAGAACCAATCCCTCCTTTATCCTCCGGCTCCATGGACTTTTTCCAGAAGCCACGCCCAGCCATGCTGAGCTCAGCAGCCGCCCTGCTCTCTGGTGCACCTGGCCTGGAGGACCTGCTGAGCGTGGGTCACTCTCACTCCCCTCCCACCCGCCCAGGGCTCTGGTGATCACCTGTGGTGAGGAGGCAGAGTGGAGTCCCCGGGGTCACCTGGGCGCTGCCCATTGGTGCTGACCACAAGGAAGCCAGTCCCCAGGCAGCATGCAGAAGAGAAGGAGAGAGAGAAACACACATGAAAACGTGCGGTACAGTGAACAAAACGGCAGTTCTTGTGGCTCTGAAGAGCTCACACTAAACAGCAAAAGAACATCATGATCTAACCAAACAGGGCCTGAAATAGATTTTTAAAAAATGGAACAAGAATAAGAGTTACCATTTATCAAGCACCCACGACATGCCAGGTACTCTGCCAGGTACCTCACATACAATGTTTCTAAAACTTAGAACAACCAGGAAGGTCAGTGTTATTATAAATGAACCCATCACCTTTCCACCCGAACATCTTCTCTCCTAATTTTCCTTCCCTTAGTAAATGGTGCCACCATCCATGTAGCTAGCTGCTCAGTCTGGAAGCCTGGAGTCGTGCTTTAGCCCTCTTTTTTCCTGACCTCCCACTTCGAGTCACTCAGCATGCCTTATCAATTCTACCCCAGAAAACTTTAAGCTTCCTCCTTCTCTCCAATTCCATTTCCACTTAGTTCGAGCCACCCTCATGTTTCACTTGGATCATTTAAGCAGCCCCCGAGCTGGACTTCCTGCCTCCAGGCTTGCTCCCCTTCAATCCTCGTCCACCCTTTAGTCGAAATGCATCAATGGCCCTGTCATTCCCAAAGTAAACTTCAGCTCATGGGCGCTCAGTGACAGTCCTCTGCCTGCCCCTCCTCTTCTCTCCACCCCCAGGACCACACTTTGTTCTGCCCAAGCACAATATCCTTTCCATTATCAACAGGCCCCTCTCTTCTTGTCTGTGGGCCTTACCTAAGCTTGTCACTTTGTGTGAGACACACACACACACCCCCTTCCTGCCTCTGCACCTGGCCACCAACTGCTCATTCTTCAGGTGTCAGGTCTTTCTCTCTAGGGAGTCTTTAGTGTCTCACCTGGGACAGACACCTGTCCCACCGTATTATAAATGGCTGCCCTCCCCTCATTTCTATAATCTCCTTGAAGGAGGCCACAGTAATGTCTCGTTAACTGGTATACTTCTGTGGCCTTGCACTGCACCTGGCACATAATAGGTACTCATTGAATATCTGTTGAGTACTAGTAAATGAATGAACAAACGAAGAAATGATGAGTTAGAGAACTGATGTAACTTGCCCAAGGTCACAGACATAATAACTGGCAGAGGTGGGAGCCAAACCCTGGTTTGCCTGACCAATGTTCCTGTCCTTTCAAACCCACCACTTGCCTCTCTAAAGAAGGTGAACCGGAAGGCATGAAGGAGTCCTACGCTGGCCAAAGGCTGCTGGTTTCTCTGGTGATTCATCCACAAAACTGCATAAAGTTCTTACGCAAAACAGAGAAACAGCTAGGGCATTTCAGACCAACTGGTAAACAGGAAATACATAATTGCAAAAATTCACAGGAAGGGCAAGCTTGACTAACAGCCGTGAGTTGCTGTAAAATGTAACCAACAATAAATTTGGTCAACAGCAAGCATAATACTCCTCCCTTAGAGGTGGGCAATGTCCCGTTTTCAAAGCACACTCCCAGGGAGAGGTCAGCAAACGATGGCTCATGAGCCAAATCCAACCACCCACTGGCTGTTTTCTGTGTGGCCATGAGCTCACAATGGTTTTTACATTTTCAAATGGTTGAGAAAAAGGTAAAAAGAAGAGAAATAGTTTTTGACATATAAAAGATTATATAAAGTTCAAAATTCAGTGTCCATAAATAAATGTTATTGGAACACAACCAGGTTTATTTTATATGTATTATCTATGCTTTTGTGCTATAATGACAAAGTCGGATCATTCTGACAGAGACCATATGGCCTGCAAAGCTAAAAAATATTTACTATCTGGCCCTTCACAGAAATGTTTGCAACCCCTCTTCTAAGTGGCTATTTTTGTTAATTTTCCTTCCCATCTTTTGAGATAGGCAAGACAAACACTGTTGGCCTTGCATGTCAGAAAAAGAAATGGAAGGCCTGGGAGAGAAGAGATGAGTCATGTTTCCACCTGGCGTTTCAGCAGCATCCTCTTGTTCTCCCCTGCTCCCGCCTGTCCTTGCCCCAGAACCCCTTCTCTGGTCCATTTTCTAACCTGTGAATAGGTGGCCTTCTGGACAAAGGCAGTCTGCTTCAGCACCTCCAAGGACCTCCCCTGTCTCGGGACAATGTGCGTATGTACGCTCTGGGGCCACCCAGGGTCCTTGGTGTCCTGGGCTTGCTGGCCACTTCAGCCTCACCTCTCATCACATGTGGCCTCCACTGGTCACATAGCATTCCAACCATTGTTGCTTTGCTTTGTCCTATGCATGCTCTCTTGTCTCCTAATGAATTGCACACGCTCCTTCCTCAGCTCAGAAGATCTCCTTCCTCTCCAACCTTGTTCAATATGGTAATTATCACTCTTCTTTCAAACTGTGCCTCAACCACATACCTGAGAATGCTCATATGTACTAGTATATATGTCAGACATTGATGAACATATTGAGACCATGCAGAAAAAAAAGGAGGTCAGAATGCCGAGCACCTCAGACTTTCTTTCTGTTTTGTTTTTTCCCCCCTTCTAAAGCAATTAATGTTAAATGCAAAAAGATGCTGATGAGCTAAAGATGGTATTGAAGCAGATAACCTCGAAGACAAACTAATTTCTTGGTTTATTAGCTTCAATATGTTGTGGAAGTGAAGACAGCTGATGGCTCCTTGAGGTTTCTGCTCCAGATCCCAGGACTTGGCTTGGACACCACTGAAGAGAAACCAAAGACCCATTACACCCTAAAGATTCTATTATCAACTATTCCTGGAAATAAAATCCTGAGAAGGAGTTAACAAATAGGAGACAGGGAACCCTGACAGTGGTCCATGGAATATAACCCAGACCATGGTATTGATAAGATTCAAAATGGTGCCATAGAAATGCCATGAGCTTTGGAGTTAGATCTCAGCTATAGTTCTGAAGCACCTTGAGCCTTTTATTTAACCCATTTGAGCCAGTATGGCTTCAATTTTTTAGTAAGGAAATTAATAATGACTATTTATGTAGTGCATAATATGGGCCAGATTTTAGTTCTATCATTGCATTGTAACTCATGTCAACATACACATGACTGTTACACAATGGGTGGTTATTTTGCATATCCCCTTTACCTTCAACTTCAACACAACATTGAAAATCCATCAATGAAAGCTCAAATGGAGCTTTATTATCTTTATTTATAACTAGAGGCCTGGTGCACAAAATTTATGCACGGGTAGAGTCCTTAGGGCTGGCCAGCAATCAGAGTCAATTGGGGCCTTCTGGCTGCTGGCTGCCAGCCGGGTCCTTCCTTCATTCTGTGCTGCCCCCTGGTGATCAATGCATATCATAGTGAGCAATCAAACTCCCAATCTCCCAGTCAAACTCCCAAGGGGACAACTTGCATATAAGCCTTTTATATATATAGATATTTGTCTCCAGCCTACCCAAATTTTTCTCTTTCTTTGACCCCTTATTTTAAAAGACCTCTTATTTCCTTTGTAAGATGCAACCACTTTTGAACAACAGATTTGAGCTAAAGTCAAGGTCTTGAGTAGATAATTCTCATTTCTAGTTTACAGGAATGAACTGAGACTTCCCAGGGACATGCTTGAAGGACAAGTTGATCTTGGCTTTTGTTTTCCTGAATTCCATGACACCAGCTTTGTCTTCCTGAGTCGGGTGTGGAGAAGGTAGGCATGTGTGTGTGTTTGTATGTTGGGGAGGGTGGCAGTTTGAGAGAATCTACGGAGTAGGGGGTAGGTAAGCAACAGAAAACTAGTAAGATGTACCAGCTATTGTAGCAAGACAAATGTTAAAGAAAGGGTTGGGATATTTAAAAGTAATCTTTAGTTATTTTATGGCGCACTTGTAATTAATTCTCTTCCTCCATTTTTGTCACAAGACCTTCAGGAAAATCCATATTATTCTATTAGCATGTTAGGACCTAGAAGACACTGGGTGAAAGCAAAGGGGACACAGGTCAAGAAACCTTGTTACACTCAAGTAATTCTGAGAGCCCCAGCATGGAAAACTCATCTCAGTGGTCTTGAGTAGATAATTCTCATTTCTAGTTTACAGGAATGAACTGAGACTTGGCCAGGGAAGAATAGCACCATTCTATCCAAACCTCAAACACACACCCTGGGCTTTCCCCTCTGAAAATCTGGGATTTCTAAGGACTAAACAACAACCAAAAGTTTTCCAATAGACTAGTCACTACAGTCTGGCCTCTCACAAGTGGTCCCTCATTATGGCCCCTACTCTGGTTACCATGGCGACATTTGGGCATCCTTTGGTCCTGAGACCCTTCTGAAATTTCTGGGAAGATGATGAAAAAAGAAAAAGTGTCACAGTCAAAGGTTAGCAAGTGGATGAGCAAGATCCTATACTTTGTTAATAATTATATATTATTGTTATGTAGGATCTCATCAAAATACAATGACCTATTGATGAAAAGGTTAAATGCTAAAAGCCGAGACCAGCATCATTCCTATCCCCTTTATTTCTGCACTTTGAATCTAGTTGGAGTCTATTTGACAAAAGCCTGATTTGTACAATTGTATGAGATGTAATTAGAGTCCAGTCTTTCCTTTTCTTCCTTAGAGAACAGCAGAGAGAAAGATGTGCTGAGTAGACCTCAGTCTCCAGGTCTCATATCAGAGAAGGTCTAAAAGAGAGAAGGAAGCTCAAGTTGTTTATCATCTATTATGTTCTTGACCTTTCCCAGGCATTATCTCAAATAATCAGGAGAAAGAACTAACAATCTCAGGCTTAAAAGTGAAGTGATGGACTCATAGGTTGGGATTTGTCCAAGGTCAAACAGTTAAAGGTTTGGATGCAGGATTTCAATCCAGGTGTCTCTGATTCCCCATTATTCCATGCAACTGCTCTGGGAAACTTTATAAGTAAAATATAGGACCTTCCATATAGCATTGGACCAATGGGGAAGGGAAGGGCAGGCATTTCCATCTTGCAGCAGACAA